CATTCTGATGGTTCTGACCCTGTTGGTACAGAACTGCAGACTAACTTCAGAGCAGCAGATCAAATAAGTTCAGCTGCAGTTTTGAGGGACTGTTCATGTTTGAAGCTGTTACCAGCAGAACCAGAAACTAACAGAGGAACCGGACTAGAACCAGCCGTGACGTCACTAACAGAACCGACCGTGTGGTTCTGGTTCGGTGTGGAAACGTCATTATCCGGGATACTGGACCGGACTTCTGTCCTGTAAAACGGGACTGTTTCAGAGATGATGGCTGAATTAACCCTGAACTAGATCCAGAGCCTCTGGTCCGGTTCTGAGCTGCTGGTTAAAGCGGTCACACAGTAAGCCGGTAATGTTCCGGGTCGTTTCCAGTAAGTTACCGGGCTGCCGGTCTGCTAGCATGTGCCGGTAGCAACAACAACTGGAGGACTTTTATTTACAGGAAAACACGGGACGGTCGACAACAGAAACTCACCCAGAACGGGTCGGACCGGTCCAGACTGCAGAACCTGTCAAACCCCATTCGCTGCCTCGCAATAGAAGCTGAGTCCTGAAGTTCGGTCCGGTTCTGGAGCTCAGCTGTGGTTTTATAATCACACAACAGAGCGGAAGGTTGTTTGCTCTTCTTCGGTTTGTGGTTCGGAAATGGCAGTAAAAGGTGTTCACTGCCCCCTGCAGGTCACCGGCGGTAGCACCGGGAGTTACACAAACAGAACACAACGGCAGGGATCGATCAATCAATCAATCAATCAATCAATCAATCAATCAATCAATCAATCAATCAATCAATCAGTGTATCTATTATATATCTGTTAATTATCCATTTGCTACCTATCTTTCTATTGCAATCAATGGTTTAATCTAATTTAATCTATGTGTAATTCTTTCATTTATTTGATCTTTTATGTAAATATAATGCAGCTATATATATATATATTCTTATTTTTTTTTGTAGTAAAATCAATTTTTATCCATCCATCCATCCATCTATCTATCATCTATGATATATATATATATATATGTGTGTGTTTGTGTATATACACACACACACACACACACACACACAAATATATCTATATCTAGATATAGATATAGATAAAGATATATATATATACATATATTAATCAATGTATTCTCAGAGTCAGTGTTGATTAAGCCATGACTGGAAATCTTGTAGTTATTCACCTTCAAACATTATAAAACACTGAATCAATACTTCATGTTGATTCCATCATAGCTTGTTGTCTGAACTTACGACTGAGGGTTATTGATTTGTGTTTTTACATCACATCACAAATAAATGTGCATTTTATCACAACTTTGTCCTCAACAACCAGTGACACCGTATTTCTGACCTGATGTCTCTCAGCTTTGCTCTGGTACCGGCAGGGATTTCAGATCCCAATAAAACCGTTGAAATGATGAATGAATCTTCATCGATGCGCAAACACAGAATATTGGATCAGAAAATCAATAGAAAACAAATAGCTGAATTTTAGCACACTTTTTATGGCATCATATTTACAGTTGAGCGAGAATATTAAGGTCTGTACAGGTGAACCTGCCTTCACCCTCCGTCAGATGGATGGACAATATCAAGTCCTTCTCAGTCAAAAGGTCTGAGTTAGTATTAGTGGAGCTGAAAGTCTGTTCTGATTTCATCAAGTCGAAGTCTGAAGTCATCAGACTCATGATTGTGACTGAAGCGTCTAAAAACTGATAAAAATGTCCTGTTTCAGGCAGAATTTTCACCTTAAGAACAATCTGTTCTGCAGGAACTCTTTTTTCATTTTCTCACATTCAACACAGTCTTCAGACAAGAGAGCCTTTAAAAGGAACGAATCACTTCTTCAAAATGTCTCCTTTTTTTATTTAACACAATCCAGTATGACTTCAATTATATTTTCCTTTAAAGGTACGACTCAGACTTGTCAGGTAACAACAGTACACAGGTATACTCTTAACATTTTCTATTAAGTCATTGTTGAGCAAATGTGTCATGTTCTCAAGGAAAAAGACAAAAATAACAATTAAAATCAGAAGTAAAGGTTAAATATATTATTCTGGCCACATGGTGGCAACATATGTTTGGGTTTAGTTGTCATCATCGTCATCGAAGACATCAGCGACAGTCCTGTGGACGAAGAGACGCACAAGTTAGTCACAGAGGATCACAAACGATGAACCAGCTTTAAGTCAGTGTATGTGGAACATACTTATAGATTGATCCGGTCACTTCATCGACAAATCCTCCTGCAGAAAAAAGACAAAGTAAGCGTGAGGTCAGACACAGCAGTTTTAGGCTCCTCTAGGGGGGCGCTGTATGGTGCAGCGCCACCACAAGGGCAAAACACAGAAACAGGAAGTTAGAATAATGACTCATTTTTGTGCTCAAAATTAAACAACCCACATGTGAACGATCAAAAATTGAAGTGAGAGACACGTGCATTTGTGAAGTGAAGGAGAAATGTGTGGATGATGAAAGTTTCTAAACCGTTTCTCATTTGAATTGTTTTGATGATGCAAACTGAACAGAAACAGCAAAGTTTACTCAGAGATCAAATCCCTGCTTTGTTCTAATCATCTGCTGCAGTTTTAATGTGATCAAATTTTTCAGGATCAAAAATGATGCAACAACCATATAATGTGATCAACGACCAGATTTGGTCTAAACTGCTGAGAGACTTCATAGTTTCTGTTAAACATTTAGTTATTCTGTCTAACCTACAGCTTTTAGAGCAGTTCCTCCTGTCCTTTAGAACTGTGAGTCCCAAGTCTACACAACAAAGCTGCTCTCGCTCTGTAATGTGATCCTGTAAACATCTTCTCACTGTGGCAGCTCTGCGTTCACTCACCTGGCTTGCACACTGTTTGGCAAACAGGACACACATGGCAGAAACTGCACATCTGTGGAAAAAACAAAACCAGAGTCATGAAATAAATATATCTCATCACACTTTTTCATCAGCTCTCATGATGAAGATGTTTCCTGGAAAATATCCTGTTTTTTGGGGTTTTTTTTAAGTGTCCACTGGGTCATAAAAACATACAAGTAGAAAATGTATTTTTATTGTTTGCACTTACTGACTAATGATTTCGTTCATCACGGCTCATTCATCAAACTCAGAGGAGACTCAGCTTCACTCAGGTTTAATGAGGATTTCTCACATGGAAAAGCAAAAGCTGATGCATTTTGATTTTGTGGTTCTGGAACCAGTTGTGTTTTTATATATATTTGTGTGAATAGTGGAGTTAAAACTATCAGCTTTGCAGTAGAATACCAATAATTATCTGGTTACAATGGCAGCATGGGGTGGGATATACGGCATCAGGCAGCGAGTCAACAGTCGGTTCTTGGTGTTTTTTGAAGCAGGACAGCAGACATCATAGAGATCTGAGCAACTCAGGTCTTGTGGTGTTTCTGGTCTGCAGTAGGTCAGGATGGA